GGGATTTCATCGCGCGCGGACACATCAAACCACCCGACACAGGTCGCTTCAAGCGCCGGTTTTTGCTGGAACTCGACGCTGGAACTCCCAGCCGGCACGGTACAGCACTTGACGTTTCGGAGGGGGGACCCACCCCCATTCCACTCCCCGCATCTCCGGCCGGCCGAGTATGTCGGAAAGCTGAAAGGAATGCGGCAGGTCTTGTGGGAGAGGGGGCTCCTGGTCAAAGGCATGACTAAGACCGGGGGCTCAGGCGAGAAGCAGGACCTAAGCAAGAGCATGGAACACGTTCTAGGAGAGCAGAAAGACTTCAAGGAAGTTGATTCTAGTCTGGTGCTGTTAATGCAGCGCCACGGGGGGGGCTGTCTCATGCTTCCAAAGTACCACTGCGAGTGTAACCCCATCGAACTTGTTTGGGGACGAGCGAAGGACTGGACTCGCAAGAATTGCACGTATTCGTTGGAATGCTTGCGCAAAAACGTGCCGCTGAGTTTTAGATCAGAGAAGGATAGGCAGGCTGTTTCAGTGGTCCAGGGCTACTGCAAGAAGGCATACACACACGCCCTCATGTACCGCGAGACGCGTGTGGAAGGGCCTGAAGGCAAGAAGACGTACAAGAAGTACAAGTCACACAGGCACCCGACCCCGAAGGAATGGAGACAGTAGATGGATGGCGCATTCGTGTTCGTTGAGCGGAACTCTTTCAGTTTTTTTCCCTGTTTTTCTGGATGGAATGTTGTACAAAAGCGACGTGTTTGTTGAAAGCTGGCACATTTTTGCGACGGAAGTACGTTAGCGGGTGATATAGGTACGCTATAGGCGCGGCAGAGGCAGTTCAGGGTCTCCCGGTACACGTGTAGGTGTTTTGACGTGAACAACAAAAGTCTGGAGTACGAAAATATATGGGTGAAAAGTTTCTCTCGGGCCAAGGTCGGGGGTTCGAGACCCGCCGCGAGCACTTTTTTTTTTTTGTCTTTTCTCTGGCGACTCGCTACTCTTTTGCGCCATGCTGCGGGCGTTCTGAAGCTGTCTTTTTTTTTTTAATTCGATCTCAGTCAAAAGTTATGGAGGGACAACCAAAATCGGGTCCTTGAAAATTACCACTTTACCGCCAAAAAAAAGAGTTAAAAAAAAAACCGGTAACCTGGTTGCCGAGTATACGAAGTGAATTGGCTTGTTTTACAACGTCGTTGCCAAGCGACGAAAACCCAACCCCGATGGCAAACACCGAGGGTGGGGGGGGGGGTTGGGGGGGCTAAAAACACACACGTGACACTCCCGGCGCCCACTAACAGTTGCCCGACAAGTACTCTTCACTGCATATCCCGGAGGACACTTCAGACTCTAAAGACAAGCGCTTTCAGAAATAGCGCGGAATAAAATACCTACAATATTGTGATTCAATAACTTGCACTTTTTCTCGCAAGGATGAAAACGATCGTACTTCGACCGCTGCATGATACAGATGGGTGGTAAACAAGTACACAACACAAACGCCACACACCATAATACCACTGCTGGTATCGGGAAGACACAACAGATAAAACGACAGAGTAAAACAAATTCATCACGGACGGGAGGAGGATGCGCTACGATCAGTCTGCTCGCCAAGAAATATGTCAACGGATCCCCCCTCGAGCAGATCCGTGTTTCCCCCCCTTGTTCAGGCTACCAACACAGCACCTCCCCATGAGCTCCGTCGACATCTTTTCGTCCAGGCCGACCTCTCAAGATTGGCCAACCTGGCCAGCTCGTCCACCACTCCCTCCAACTTCATTGACACGTCAAGCTCTAGGTCTACTCCCTCGAGCCTATCCTTCGCTTCATCCTCCAAGAAGGTTACGAAAGCCTTGAACATCACGAAAATGTTGGTGAACGTCTCCTCAATCTTGGCCTCCATCACTCGCCGCCAGTAGTTCGTGCACGCCTCGTGGTCATGGGCGTGGGAACCATTCTGTTGGTCGGCCGTATCTACTCCCCCGATGTTGGCCACGTAATCCTTACGCATCCACGGCTGCTGTAGCTCCATGGATTTCCCCTTCTGCCCAGCTTTGCGCAGGCTGGACACGCACGAAAAGGGGCAGACAGGCGGGGGGCAGGCGGAACACATGGGTCAGGCACCACACTTGCGGCTGCGGCAACGACGAACTGGATGGAGATCGTCGAACGTAGCAACCTAAATGTACCCCAGCGTAGCATCAGCCCCTGTAGCGTAGCATCAGCCCCTGTCAACACTACAATGCTCAAGGCCCAAGTACGTTCCCGGTCGGTGGGAACAGCCTGTGTGACGAACCGAATACGAAAGGCATAATCGCGAGCCGCTGAATGTGGGAACACCAAACTTTGAACTCCATCAACCTTAGCACGGACCAGTTTGACCGACATGCTACTCGAGCGGGGCATCCGACATGAAAACGCAGAAAAAAAAACATGAATCTGGGTCAACAACAACAAAAAAGGTCACCTGTACGGTAGAGGTGCGAAATGGTCGTCGCCGCCGTCGTCGTCCTCCTTCTTGGGCTCGCCGATGGCGGCGCGAGGTTGGGCGAGGTGGATGGTGCTGCACAGGATGATATCCTTCGAGTCGAGCCGCTGCACGAATGCGATATTGCCGGCGCGGGCAAAGTGCATGTCTCCCCGCTTGACGGGGATGCGATCGAGGCTCTGCAAGAAAGGGATCGCGCCAGCGGTTCGCTTCACCCGGTACGTACCCACCGCGAAGATGTCGTGGCTCGCAAGACACTCGAACAGTGTCGGGCTTGTGAAGTATTTGTTCATTGCGATGTGCACGCCAGAACCGTCGATCTTTTCACTGAACTCCTTGTAGGCGCCGAGCAGGACATGTAGAACGTGCCGAGTGGTCCGTCCCAGAGGCCCAGAGGGCAGTCAGACCAGGCCCTTAGCTTGGGATCCCCCGAAAATCCACCGTCGACGCTGCTGACGAAACAATATCCCTCGACGTCGCAGATCGCGAGCATCTTCATGCCTGCCTTTTGAACAACGTGAATACGGAACAAGGGTGGAGCGAATTAACAAGTCGGCGCATCAGTCAATCGTGCCCGGGGTGGGCGTTTGCACTCTATTCGAGGATGTCTTCAAACTAGTGTACAGTCATTGACGGTTCCAGCGCCGCCATTTTCGGCACCGCCTAGCTCTGTGTTGTGTAGCAATCGAGCTTTGAATTAGGCCCACGGGCGTGATTTCTTCATGTGACCTAAACGCCAAATGTTCCTGCTACTATTTTTCCACGCAACGGAGAGGGAGGGGGGGGGGGCTCAACTCCACAAAAAAAATGACAACGCCAACCACATGGTGGCCCCTGAAAACCGAATACTATACAAGGTCTTCGCCAATATCCCCAACCGCCGAGCCCTCACACCGTAAGGCCGTCACAAGGAAAACACACATTCGGCAGGAACCGTCCACACAACACGAAACACAAACCGCGTACCGTGGGTGATGGGCTTCTTGGGCTGGTGTCTTATGAGGAAGTGCGCGTACCTCGACACAGTCTTCACCATCTGCTCGTCGTAGCAAAGCCACTGGTTGAAGTCCATGTTTTCCGTCCACGCGGTGTTCAAGATGTCTTCGAGCTCTCTGCCGGTGAAGCGACGTCAAGATTTGCACGGAGGTGTGGCGTTGGTTCATCTGTTGTAGAACATTCGTGGGACACGAATGGACATACGAATGCCCACCTATTGAATACACACCAACCAGGCTAATCCGTAGCAATGACCATCCCAACCGTACGTTGGTGGTCACGTGTAGTATCCCACGGGGAGGGCGGGTGGTGTAGGGCAACGACATCTACTTGTTCAACGACATGAACTCTTTTGGAGTTGGATTCTAGGGTACTCGCCGGCTTGGAGGCCGTTTTTTTTCACGACGTGAAATAAGGGGAAGCGTGGTCCAACAGTCAGAACGCCTGAAGTCTCCGACTGGTAAAACTCACCCGATGTGCCACTTCGAATCGAAGTCTGGGTTCGGGGTGTTGTCCTCGTCCAACAATCGAGGAGGAGCGTTGCCGTCCGAGCAGTGGATGAAACGGCAGTACAACATCTCGAACAAGTCGCGCGATATGAACGCCCTAACTAGAGGATAGTCGTGCAACGATCTACTCCAGTGCTTCCTCATGCGCGTTTTCTTCGTGAGCCCCATTGGATCGTGATGTTAAGCATGCCGTAGATGTGCGTGCGCTCGAATGCGGGTTCCGGCAGGGTGACCCTGCCGAGAGTTCTCGACTTCTTCATCTGATGCTCCTTGCGCTTGTCCGTACCTCCGGGGGGTGGTGGTGTGCTGCAAAGGTTCACGTACTTGTTGGTCTGGAAAAGTATCACGTTTCGCGCGGAAGAGGTCAGGGACAACAAGACGAAGCAAACATTAGCATAGTATTCGCCCTAGAGGTCGCGCCCAGGTGTCGTATATTAGTGCTGATGCAAGCCGTGGCAGCACGGACTTGTTCGATTCTCACCTAGGCTTCCGCGGATGTCTTGGAACGTAAGCAATAGCGCAAGGGCCCACAACAGACTGTGTTCTCAGGGACCTACCTAGTACCCGCTTTCAATTGTTGGGTTGGTTGGGTGGATATCGATAATCAACTTCCAACATACATAACAGGGGTCCCCCGTGCTGGAGAGGGGGGGGAGGGTGCTTTTCTGCAGGGAGTACATTCCGCGAGCTTGCATCCGCCCTTGCAAACCACCCCATGCACGATACGCTGGTACGTAGCACGTCAGGAGCGAAGTATGCATGAACACCGCATATACCCCCGTGTGTTTGACACTCTTGATAAGATTTGATTTACATTCGGGCAGTATGATGAGGCGACCAAGGCATGCAGACCACATCATGCAGTGTGAACACAAACAAAGGGCAAACAATTCATCCCCCCATCCCCCCCCGCCCCCCCCCCTCCCCGCTGAACTACTTTCAAGTCCGACGCATAACGGCTCGGTTTCTTACTTGCGTGCAACCCCCCCAATGAATTGTTCGAATATCACCAAATAAGGATGCGACTACATGAAATCATCAATGCTCACCTTTTGCACGAAAAGATCAACTGCCTTCTCGGGGAACATCATGTTGAAGCACGTCTTCATCAAACCACTCAGCGGGAGCTCTCCGTTCTCGTTGAGGCTGTCCATGAAGGTATCGAGAGAGGGCAAAATCGAGCACGCGGACGCCGACAGCGAAGCAGCGCTGACCGTCGACCGCTGGTTTCTTTTCTTGTGGTCCGCCGTTCCCGCAAAGGCAGGAATGCCGCGGTCAGTCCACGCCACCGCCGGGTCCTCCGCCTCAAGTTCAACTCCTCCTGCTCCTGCTGCTGCTGCTTCTCTAGCTCCTCTTTCTCTTGTCGCTCCTCCTTCTCCACCTCCTACCGCGGCCGATGCTGTTTTTTATTTTCTTTTTCTGCCGCTTTCTTGAGCCTCTCCTTCTCCCTGTCGCGTATGGCCTTGAGCTGGGTTGAGCACGTCATCGACAAACAGCTGAAACAGAGCGGCAGGTGTGTCAATTTATCCCCTGCCGTGTTGTGTTCAATCATCCGAAAAATAGAAATACAGTCGTACGAGGCAACGGTGTCACTACACCTGCGAATCGAGGGAGCGAGAGATTCACGTGAAATTGACACGGAGATCAAGAATAACACCATACAGGGCCAGCAGGGTAGGCAGGTCACGCACATGCATTTACATACTCCGAATCGTGAACTCGACATTCGTTGCCCCCCTGCCAACATTGAAAATCACGCCCGTGTTGAGCAACAGCAGCCAGGCACGGAGGCGTCAACATGATCATGCAAGCAACCAGGTGCTAATTAACCAACGCTTCTAAGATACTTTTTATTAGAGACAAGCGACCACACGAGCCGAAACAATGTGCCTACCTAGACACGCGTTTGTTCAGTGAGGATAGGGCACTCGCTACTCGGTATCCCAAGCGAAAAAAACTCCGTAGAAACTGCTACCAGTACAGTATTGATTCGCACTATTTATTGGACTCAACTTTTGCACCACATTAAATCATCGTCTTCTCCTTGATCCGCCTGTTCGCCCGGACAATGCCAAGAGAAAAGTCTACACGAAGACAAACCCACCTTCAGACCCCGCGCCCTCCTCTTGTTGCTCAGCAAGTACGCCCGCCTGTAGTCCAGCTCCGGGATCTTCTTCATGGCGGCCACCACCTTCTTCTCGTTCTGCGACATGGTAGCGAAGGAGTCCTGGGGTTGCTCGTGGTCCCCGCCCCCGATGCTGCCGTCGGAGTTATAGGTGGATTCGTCTACTTGGCCGTTGTTGTTCAACGATTTCCTCCTACCCGTCGGCGTACTCTTGCCTTTATTTTCGGCACCTCTCCCCTCCCCTGGTGACCCCCCTGCCTTGCGCTTCCCCGGCGCACCACCCAACTTGAGCTGCTTCCCTGGTGCACCCCCCGCCTTGCGCTTCCCCGGCACATCAACCGCCTTGCGCTGCTTCCCTGGTGCACCCCCCGCCTTGTGCCCCTTGCTCTCCGCTGGCTGCCTCTCGGTTGGTCGCTTCACCCCGACCTTACTCCCGATCTTCGCCTTGCTGTTCTTTCCCGCTCCAGCCTTTCCCTCCGCTTGCCGGCTGCCGCTGCTGCTGTTGTGGCTGTTGCTGCCGCTTGCTCTCATGCTGAACTCGGGATCGTCCTCCTCTTCTCCACCCACCTTTGTGGACCCTGGTGCTTTCTTCCCGGCCGTGGCACTCGCCGACGGCACCGGCGCCGCCATCCCTAGATCTTTCTCCTTTGCAAATGTGACAGCTTCGATGAAGGAAGCATCTACGGTGAGTCCAAGCTGCAGACGGTCGAAGTGGTCGTGCTGTTTATGGCCATCCTCACCTACACCCAGGCGCCTTCCGGTAAATGTCGGAGAACGGCGTCCTAGAACGAGTGTTCGTCGGTATGAAAAACAGAGACCGGTTCTAGAAACGTTTCGGCGAGACCAACCGGACGGAAAAAAAAAACGAAAAAAGAAGCAAAAAATAAGAAAAAAAAAAATCTCCCCACATTTTTCAAGATAAACGATGAGGCGCATCCTGGTTCACCCGAAACATCCTCCGAAACATCGCCGACTCAAGCCTCGTGCTCTACGGCAATCGACTCCGCTTGGTCGAATTACATACAGAGGACACCACTCTCAAGGTCATCAGACCTAATCTCGTTCTAGGACGGCCGTCCCGACTTGGGCCTGGCCGTGGCTCGTGGCAGCCTCATGCAGGTAGACCGCACATTCGAAATCCGAGGCAGCAGCGGAAGAAGCACAGCCGCGGGATACTGCTAATCAGCCAGCTGTTGAGAAAGGGTACCACCGAGGCAGCTGGAAAACCCGTGCAATCTGGTGTTGCTGATGAAGTTGAGCGCCTCGAAAAGTGTAGAGAGCATGTTGAAGGCATCCGAGGNCGTTGAAGGCATCCGAGAGAGAGCATCGAAACGCGGGAAACGACAGCCTGCTGCTGCTGCTGCTGCTTCATCTGCTGCGGCGAAGAAGGCGAAGCGCAAGGGGGCGGACGCAGCTCTCTCCGACCCTCTAGCATTGGCTCATGATGGCGGGACTAGAAGCGGTGCTACCCCAGAGACTTCGCGGGAGGAAGCGGTGAGTTTTGAGTCGCTTCTGAGGTGCTGCTGAAAGGTGTTTAACTCCTTGATTGACTGCTTTACTTTGCGCGCCAGTTCGTGCCGCACTTTTTTTGAAGTTGAATTTATGTATCGTACACGCGCTGCCCGTCCTCTTTGCCCCCAGGAATTGAGGTCCATTCCACCACGTCGATCATGAGCACAGAGAGCGCATTAAAAATTGCGCGGGTTTGCTGACTGCTGTAACCGCTGCAATGACGCTGCTACCGTGGTGTTTATATGTCGCCCACTCATATGTTACCCCGACTCCTCCAACAACTACTGATACGTTGTACGCAGGTTGCGGAGGAGCGTCGCTCTAGCGCGATGGATTTGATGCAGAACGACCCCGTGTTGATGGAGCGAGTACGGGCCATGCTGGATGCTGGCGCGGCAGAGCAGGTAGCAGCTAACGTGGCTGCGATCGACGCGGCCAACACTCGTGCACTCCGTGCGTCGTTGCAAGCACTGAAGCAGCACTGCAACAGCTCGATAGGGTGGACCACTTACCAGACAGCGCTCGCTGTAGCACCCGGAGCGGGAGAGCACACGTGTACTGACACGGACGTGTGCCACCCCGGCCAGCGGTGCAAGCCCGTTGAGTCTGGCGGAGTGAGCCTTGCCGAGCGAGCCAACAGTCTCGGCATTCGGCACGAGACTTTCAGCGACGCACGGCGGCGGATGCACAACATGAACCACGACATCGCCCCCAAGATCGCTGTGAGTGAGGGATGCTACGTGTACAACGACCGCAAGACACGGAGTGACGTGACGATCCCGAGGTCATGGCTCTCGCCAAGGCTTTTCGGCACTCCGACGACGTTTAGTGAGTGGTAGACGAGTCCAGGGCGAGGAAATGGACCGCCCCCAAGAACTTCACCAGATCTTGGAAGTTGCGGGTTCGGGGCGCATCGTGCTACTGCTCTACTAGCCGAGTAGGCTGCTACGATGACTGCATGGTAGCGAAGGTGTACCCCGACTTGGTTAGCAAGGTGATGGAGAAGTCAGGAAAGGAGAAGGTTGGGAGACGCACGCTTTTGACTCAATTGACCGGCGGTGTTGTTACGGTGATATCTTCGGACGAGTCTCCAGTGGTGCCTATTCCCAACCCCATGCCTAGTCCGACGCTTTACGAGAGCATGGGGGAGAAGGTAGATGGGGAGGAGGAGAGGGAGGAGGAGAGGGAGGAGGAAGAGGAAAAGGAAGAGGAAGAGGAGGAGGAGGAGGAGGACGGGGAGGAGGGGGAGGACGGGGAGGAGGAGGAGGAGAAGAGAGATATGTAAGCTCAAGAGGGCGCGTACGCATTGCGAAGAGGAGGTTCTCGGAGTTGGGCTAGTAATAATGTGTTGACTGCCAACCGTGAAGAGTAGAAGCACTTAATTCGATCAATATGTGGGAAAATCCCCGTTTTGTCCCCGGTCGGGGACGGAATTTTCGTGTCCCGTGTCTCTTGTTTTCCTCGTGTGATTGGCACAAGCTGCGGGGCTTTTCGTAACTGAATAGCGGTCCAACAAGCACTCAAATTGACCAAGATATAGGAATATCCCCGTTTTGTCCCCGGGGGGGTGTACTCATAGTCGCGCATGCCGTAGTCGTTAGACCATTGACCTCGCATCCCTACAAAGCCGGGACGGAGCACGCCGGGTTCTCACCGGACCAGGCTCTCACATCACCAAG